CCCCCAAACAACCAACTCTTCACAACCACCCCACACACACTCATTTTTCCCTTGCAAATCTCTTTATTAAAATAGCTCTCTAAATCTCTAAGTCACTTCAGATGCTCTTTCAAAATTTGTTCAAATACAAAAACTGATTCTGGCGCCTAGGCGCCCAACTATGGCTCCTTGGGCGCCTAGGCGCTAACCTTCTAGAAGATCAATATAAATGTCTGGCTCCTAGGCGCCAGATTTTAGCACCATGACACCTTGCTCTCTGTTTTACGTACAGGGTCTGACGTCTAGACGCCAGTTCACTTTGTGTTCATTTGCTCTATTTGACCATATTTTGTTTCATTTTTTCTCCATTTTCTCCAAAATCTCTTTTGTACCTGTAATAAAAAACAAACAAATACTTTTCATTAAAGTGCAACATCATTAAAAGTGAACATAAAATGCATTTATAAAAGTAACACATTTTTAGGCATGTCTTGTCCTATTATGCTTTTACACTCGTTTAGGTCATCTCAATTTTCAATATTTAAAATAGCCATCTCTTTTGATGTTTACTAATAAAAATCTATCTAGGTTCAAATATGAGCTTTATTAGTTAGCCAAACATCTTCGCGTCCCATATCTACCCCACAGTTACACTAACTCCTTTTTCATTAATTCATTGTGACTTATAGGTACCCCTCTCGAACTTTGATCTACACAAATAAATTATGATTCCTTACTTTGATTGATGACCACACTCAGATGACTTGGGTTTCTATATCTTAAAAAAAAAATCTGAAGTTGTAATCTTATTAAAAAATTTTCAATTCTTTATTTTGACCTAGTTCAAAACATCCAATTCATGTTTTTTGGATCGACAACTGCCGTGATTTTTTAACTCTATATTAGGAGAATTCTTGGTAAGAGCACCCTCCATCATAGCTTTTGTACAAATACTCGATAAAATGGGGCAGCCAAGCGAAAATACCGACATCTTCTTGTTGTTGCTCATTTCATTATGTTTCAATCTAATGTCCAGAAATATTTTTCGAATGATGTCATACTTACCACAACAAATTTCATCAATAGTCAAAAAAATTCACAACTTTTGGACCCTATTAGCTTTCTTGATGTCATGTTTTTGACCAATTGGTTCTTCTCCACTTTAGAAATCAAAATATTTGGGTGCATGACTTTTGTTCAGAGCACTGCCCCAACTCATGGTAAACTTGATCCCCGTTCAACCAAATGTGTCTTCCTTGGTTATTCTCTTACTCAAAAAGGCTATCGGTGCGTTGATCCTATCACAAGTAAATTCTTTGTGAGTGATGATTTCTCTTCTTTGAATGTTTCTTCTACTTCCATAGTCTTGCCCCCAAGTGAGGGACAGCTAGATTTTTTGGACACTATTCTTTTTTCGACTACGGTGGATATTCCACCTACATCTCTAGCCATTGTTTTCTAGGAACTCTCAATCCCACTGGATCTACCACCAACTAGACCAACATCTCCTCTATCCACTCTCCGTGTCAATACTTGGCGTATTAAATCTACGGCTGAGACCCGTCTCAGTGCTCCTACACTTAAGCCTACTGCCTCTTTGCAGGTCTTGGGATCCGCTCTGACCGACATCCCCAGAACTACACTCTCTAAACTTGCGAGAATTATTTTTGCTCTGAATGAACAGGCATGTTCTACCATTGATGTACCCAATCAGACATGCTTTCTTTATTTCATGGCAAGATACATCTCATTCCACAACTTATTGCTGACCTTGAAAACATTTGCCACTTCTTTGACCAATCATCTTCCATCAACTATTCAGGCAATATTGGCAGACCCTTCCTGGAAGGATGTAGTGATGGATGAGATGAATTCCTTTCGGCAAAATCATACATGGGATGCTATTGTTCTTCTTCAGGGAAAGAAAACAGTGGGTTGCTGGTGGATTTTCAGCATTAAATTTAACTTTGATGGATCCTTTGAATGCAACAAAGCGCAGTTGGTCTCCTAAGGTTACTCACAAACTTGTGAAGTTGATTATGAGGAGATGTTTGCTTCAGTTGCTAAACTTAACATCATTCAAGGTCTGTTATTCCTTACCGTGAATCTGGATTGACCCTTGCTTCAATTAGATGCCAATAATGCTTTTCTTAACGGTGATCTCACAGAAGAGGTGTATATGTCTCTCTCTCTGGGCTTCGACACTACTTCTCGTGGACAAGTGCGTCAACTACAAAAGTCCCTCTATAAACTAAAGCAATACTCTTTAGCCTGGTTCGACAAATTCACGTAGGTGGTAGTGGGCCATGAGTTCTCTCAGACCCAATTTGATTGTACTTTTTTCCTTGGGCATTCCTCCAACGACCATATTTTCATCCTTATCGTCTATGTCGATGATATTGTGCTCACAGGTAATGATCTGCCGGCCTTGGAGTCTCTTAAAGGCATCGTCGCTGCATCTTTTGAAATGAAGGACTTGGGATCTCTCTGATATTTCTTAGGCATGGAAGTTGCTTGGTCCTCTTGGAGCATTTTTCTTTCTGAGTGCAAATATGTGATGGACCTATTAACCTAGACCAACCTTCTTTGCAAACTAGTTGCTGTACCGATGAATCCCAATGAGAAATTGACAGATGTTTCTAATGTCGTTCCAGTGAACAAGACACACTACAACTTCCTTTTGGTAAACTCACATCTCGCCCCTTTGCACCCCAACATTTGTCTTGTTGTTGGTATTGTAAGTCGGTTCATGCAGGACCCCTATGAGCACCATCTCACTGTTGTCCACCGTATCCTCTTTACTTAAAAGGCATATCGAGCTCAGGTTTGTTCTTCTTTCTCCACACTTCTCGCTTTATTTTTGTTTATACAGACAATGATTGGGCTGGGTCCGTCCATGATCGACCATCCATCTCGGGTTATTGCTCCCTCGTGTGGGAAACTGTTACTTGGAAAAGCAAAAAAGAGTCGGTGGTTGCATGTAGCAATGCTGAAACCGAGTTTAGTTCTATGTCCTTGGGAATATATGAAGCCCTCTGGTTGTGCATCATGCTCCGCGAGTTACGTATGATGATCTCTGTTCCTCTACAATTGTTCAGTGATAATAAAACCACCATTAACATTGCTCGTAATTTGGTCCAACTTGATCGTACGAAGCATGTAGAGATTGATTGTCACTTCAACAACGAGAAGCTGAATTCTGGGGAGATTTGTGTTCTAGTTATCTTATCCAGTGGTCAAATAACAAATATTCTAATAAAGAATCTTTTTCGGCCATTGTTTGACTTTGATCGGCCATTGTTTGACGACTTCAAATCCAAGTTGAACATGATTGACATCTATGCTTCAACTTGAGGGGGAGTATTAGAATTATTAGAACATTTTTCTTTTACTTTCTGGATATTTCATAGTTTATGTGTTTTCTATTTTATAACTCTTGTATCTTGTATTTGTACCCCTTTTGATATCAATAAAATTATATCGCTGAATTTCAACATATACATATATATCCCATGATTTTAAACCTAAAGAGTAGACTACAAGAATTTTTTTCATTCTTATTGGTTTTCCTTAAACCAATTCGAAAGCTTGTGTTCCAAATTCAAAAGTAAAAAACTTGCTTCCCTGTCCTACTTCATACAAAATATCCTAGTGAGTGTTTTGTGAGTTTTTTTTTTTAATCTAAGTTTCTCTCTCTTTTTTATTTAGTATTTCGAATGAGGCTTAGAGGGTTGCCCTTGTTTATTATCAAGATGACTGTACTATTTAACTATGAAGCAAAAAAGTGATATAATTGTTTATCGATCAGTTTGAGGGTGAAAGTGTGTTTGGATCGGTAGATTCCTAGGCATGTAGATGTTTAGGTATGGACATAGTAAAATAGTTAGGTGAACTACATACAATTTTTTTACTTTGATTCTTGCATCATTTTCTATCACTTGTCTAAAAAATTTTAATATCTCAAAGGATATATTTGGGGGCAGCTGTTGTTGTTTGAAGAAAGCAGTTGTGAAGCTGCTGCAGAAGAAACTATTTTTCAAAAAGTTATGGTGGTTTTTATAAATTTATTCTATTTTCAAGAAGTCAGACCGTAGTTATCTGGCAGCCACGATACTTTAAAATCTCATGTTGAAAAAAAAACAATTTTTAACATATAAATTTTGAAAAGCAGCAAGAAAGCAGTTTCCAAAATAGAAATGCGGTGATTGTCTGAAAAGCAAAGCAAATCGAAAGCTGTCCCAAACATACCCTAATGTCCCTTTTGGATGTATCTTATCCTCCGATGCCTTCTATTATTGATTTACTAGTGTTTCTGATTCTATTCAAATGTATTAGATCTAAAGTCTACTTGTGCTGAATATATTGCAATTACCCGTTAAATTAGGGTTGTTCAAATTTTTCAAAATTTTCATTAATTTCTTCATGATTATTCGATCATTGCATTAGTTTTCACGTTTTTATTTTTGTATCATTGATCTGCATCTAAAACAAGCTTTTGCATTTCTAATAATCTTTGACTTTAGAATCCTAATTTCCTTCTGTGATTTGTACAAGTTTCATCATTGTAGTTGCATCATGATGCCCTATTTTCTTTTTTGATAATCTTTGCATATACCACTGAAATTGTTCTTATTTACAAAACTAACTCGTAAGTTTTTAAAATGAATTATCATATCGATTTATTTTTGCTTTCCCTGACCTAACTTTTGAGAATTTAAAGAACGCAAAAATGTTTTGGAGTTTTATTGTAGTTTTCATGTTTTGAGTGGTTTTATTATAAATGAAAGTAGCCGAGTGTTTTGTAAATAGGCAATATTTGAATATTATGTAAGAAAATTGCCCTTTTTTTCTCTGGCCCTTTTTTTCTCTGAAAAAAAAAAAAAACTATGGAGCATTAAAATTGGAATTGTAGCTTTTCTTGTTTGATAGGTTCTTCTCAAAACAGTCTCCTTTTTTTCCCTTCCCAGTTTTATTGCAAGTGCTTTAACGGGCGAATTAATTTTGCTTGTGTTCCTTTCCAGGAAGGTTGCAAAGGCCTCCTCTATATGGTTCTCCATGCACGTGTTGTTCTGGACTTGCATGAAAAGCACGAGGAGGAGATCAGTTTCGAGCAAGTTGAAGGAGATTTTGCTTCATTCCAAGGAAAATGGCAATTGGAACAGCTTGGGGACCAGCACACTTTGCTCAAGTACAGCGTAGAGTCAAAAATGTGCAATGATAATTTTCTGCCAGAGGCCATTGTGGAAGAGGTATTGTTGTTGTTCTTCCCATTTTTTGGTCCTATATTAAAATTGAATGTTGTCTCAATGAATGTTTTATCTTAGAGAATAGAAGGAAAAGTTCACTTAATAAACTATTTGTCTATGGTAATAATGCAGAAAGGTAACATTGAGTTCATGAAAATGCAAAAACGAAATACAGCCATATTCATAACTTGGAACAAGCCCAAGAAACCGTCTTCCAACCTTTTGAGCAGCATTTTCTTGCTGCTATCAATATAGATCTTTCAGCCGGGTGTAAGGGGAAAAGATGAAAGATTTGGAAAGCGAGGTTAGCTGGCTTAATGGTGATCTCTGACTAGGTTGTTGAGGCCTCAAGATGTAAAGTAATGAACCTTTCAGGGAACTGTAAATTAGAAAAATAACCAAGAAAAACTACCTTTTCTGTGTCAGCCAATGCAATTGAGCTTTGTTTATATTAAATGATCTTTATTTTTTTAAGAATGATTCTAGTTATATCTTTTTTTAGGTCTATTTTGTTTTACCACTGCATCAAAGAGTTTCAGCTGCTAATAGCTGTTGCATTTTAGAATTTATATAAAGTCTATTTTTGCTTATAAAACTATTGAACGGATATTGTCCTGCATTGATGGTCATTATTTTGGGTGAAATAATTTGCAAATCTTCTGGGTCCTTCACGTTCAACTATGCTATTACACTTCCAAGATTTATTGTTTTTGTGATAATTCATAATAGTACAACTATTACTCTCATCCATTTGTAGATAGCAACGTGACTTGGAGATTGGTTGCTTTGCCTCCTTTATATAACCTATTAATTACTTTCTCAAGTAGATTTAAGATTGTTCTATCAGCAGCTCCTAGTGTTTGAATCTTAACTTGTCCGGTACTATTTGTTATAAAATACTTTTTTAGATGTTATTTCATGTAGCATCCCGAATTCTCATCCATCTGGATATTGTCCTCTTTGGTTAAACAGTTTCGTGATATTGTCCCATTGGTGACTTCTTAGGTCTCCCATTCTAACAGTGCTCCCGTAAGCTTAATTTTAGAGTATTTGATAAAGTCTAACCATTACATTGAAAGACGCCTCGTTATTTGAGAGTTGAGCTTCATTCTATTTAAAGGGTTTCACAATTCATTTTGCATTCTTATTGTCTGATTTATAGTGATAATAGTCCAAAAAACTGCAAACCTTTTTTAGATATTGCCTGCAGTTGACATCAGCCAAGCTTTTATCAAGTTATTTTTTTCCTTGATATAAGTTCGCTTTTAAGTTTTCCTATTTGGAGTGTTATGTGAGTTGGAAGTCTTCATTATGAATGAAAATAAGTCCTTAGCGGGAGTAGCTTTATCCTAGAAGCAGGGAAAAAAAATGAAGAGAAAAAAAACGAAGAAACGCTTGATAAATTTAAAGTAGTTTAGGAGCTTTTAATGTAGATTTCAGTAATCTGTTACAATCTTTAGGAAATTTTTCAGAAACTGTATTCAAATATTTTTCTTATACATAATGTGCATGTTTGATACTGATCTAGCTATATCGTTATTGCCAAACCACACTGATTATTAAGAACCATACCATTTTTTATTAATTTTCTTTACTCTATTTCAAGAAGTGTTTATAGAAATGAAGACCAGATTCTGCTTATCTTATTTGACATTCTTACAAATCGCCAGTGTTTTTGTTGTTAATTTCAGGTAGTATATAAAGATCTTCCATCAAACTTATGTGCTATACGTGATTTTGTTGAAAATAGAGTAAATGCTATGAGTGATCCTCCAACTAAGGCAATGGCCCCAGCTGAGGATGATGTGCATATGACTGAAGATATTCTAAAAGAGAATATTTCTAGCATGAGCTCTAATACATTGAAGTACAGGCCTAGAGTTCCAGGCTTGCAAAAGGATTTAGACATCCTCAAAACTGAGATTGCTAGATTTGTATCAGAACATGGTCAAGAAGGTTTCATGCCAATGAGAAAACAACTGCGCTTGCACGGAAGAGTGGATATCGAGAAAGCAATCACTCGATTGGGTGGATTTAGGAAGGTTGCTAGTTTGGTGAACCTTTCGCTTGCTTACAAACATAGAAAACCAAAAGGTTACTGGGATAGCCTTGAAAATATGCAAGAAGAGGTAACTTGGAACTTTCTCTGTGGTCCTGCAACCTTGAAACTTATTTCCCTCAAAAATGATTTACTTATTCCCATTTTGTTCCATGCTATTCTATTTAATATCATTAATCTAATTTAGCTGGTTAATATCTTGGAACGACAACAAAAACAACAACAAATACAACAAACCTTTTTCCCACTAAGTGGGGTCGCCTACATGAATCCTTTTTCTCCATTGCATCCTATTGCGTGTCATATTTTCATTTAATTCTAATAAATTAAGATCATTTTTTATATAGTATGCCCAAGTCTTTCTAGGTTTGCCTCTGCCTTTCTTAACATAAGTCGAGATTAAAATATCTACTCTCCTAATCGGATCTTCAGATGGTGAATAGCTTGGAAGTTTTTATAAAGTTTGAGCTTGCTTGTCTGTTACTCTAGCGTTCAAAGTTGTATAATATCTAATCCATTTAATGGACTTTCATTTACTTAAGTATGTGCTCTTGTCTACATTTCTTGGTTTTTTTTAATTATTTTTTTCGCTTTCTCAGATAAGTCGATTCCAGAGAAATTGGGGAATGGATCCTACCTACATGCCAAGTCGAAAGACATTTGAGCGTGCAGGTGAAAAGAAAATTTTTTTTTTCAAGTCTATGAAGCATTTCCTATTTATAACTTGAACGAACAATACTATAGTTTTACGATTGTTTGGAATGTTATCTATGAATGGAAAATTTTTGGGAGCAGATATACTGACCAAACTTTAATCAAGATAATGTTAAGGCCAATAAATTTACTTTGAGATGAGTGCAACTCATTTTTCTAATTGGGTGCATTTCCATAAATGCCACCCAATTCCTATGTATTTATGTATCTAATGCCTAAAATTTACCTTTATATATTTGTACCACCCATATCTTTCATATCACATAAAAAATTCATGACCCGACCCGAGAGTTTGGAATGCCAATGCGGGAATGGACGTTCAGACGTACGAAAACTATCTAAATAGTTTCATTTCTTAAATAAAATCATCCAAAATATGAGTTAATCTATTTTACAAAACTTTAATTTATTACAATTTGTTATATTTAAATTCTTACAACAAAAAAAAAAATTAAAAACAAAATTATTCTATCTATCTTCCCGAGCTTATCTGCTTATTTTATATCATCTAGGATCCATCGACTTTTGACTAGATTTTTTCAAAAAATATTAGTAGTTGAAAGTATGTGTTAAACTACTCAATAAGTAAAAGTTCTTTAAATTGCAATAATTCTTATTTTAATAATATTTTTGTAAAATAGTGTAAATAGTTAAATTTAGCCTCGCATTGCCTGATAGAGCGATCAACCTGCACCAGCCTAATGAAATTGTCATGCATCTACCTCTTAAATTAAAGATGAACAAACTAATCACGGAAGGCTATCAAGAACCCTTCCACTAAATCAAGCTATTGTGTCGTCCTTCTAACCATTCTTGCAGCTATTCCTGCCACCACCTCACTGCTTCTCTCTCACAAGCAATGTGACCAATGTAAGTCTCCTCTCTTATGGTTAGGACATGCTTTCAATGATTTTCTATTCTCAATAGCTAGTTCTCAGGCTCCGCCGGCCCTCCTGCTCTTGTTAAAGAGGTCACCCATGCATTTGTCTCCCTCTTGAAATAGGAACAAATTAATCACAAAATTTCTCAAAATCCTTCCACTAAGTCAGGCTGTTAGGTCGTCCTCCAAACCTTTCCGACAATTGTCCTTGCCAGTGCTTCTATGCTTCTCCCTCAAAAGCAAATGTGGCCCATGTGACTCTCCTCTCCTATAGACAGAACATGCTTTCAATGTCCTTTTCTATTCTCAATAGTAGTTCTCACCTCCACTAGCCCTCCTGCTCTTGGAAAGTGGGGGCGGTTTTATATCTTGAAACACCTTCTGATACTTATCTATTGGTGTTGTCTCATTATCATTGGCCTAGGTTTGAGAATTGTGAATTAGTCGTGTTACTGCAGGTATCGTCTGAGTAAATGTGTCTATTGGGACACTTGTACCACTGGATGTGGATCACTATTCTGCTCTACAACTATTCTAGCCTCTCTATTGCTTTAATCTATATCTTCCTGATTTTTTTTTATTGTCTTTAGATACGAAAATTTTGCAATTATTACAATGAATATTATAATTATTATTTAACTTTCTTAATTACAATTGTCAGCTTGGAGAATACAACAGGATAATTTTTTAATAGAAAGGATGATATAAATACATATTACAAGTCCCAATTAAAAAGAAAGGCATAAATTCATATATAGGCTAACAATGAAATACATGAATGAGCAAACGAGAAAAAAAGATGCAAATAAAAGCTAATAATGGCAACAAAAGTAATTAGCCTAATAACTAGACTAATAAATTTAATACTCCCTCTCAAGTTGAAGCATAGATGCCCATCATGTTCAACTTGGATTTGAAGTTGTCAAACAATGGTGAGAAAAATTCTTGATAAAAATATCTGCTAATTGAGTATTAGTTAGGATAAATAGAAAACAAAATTCCTCTGAATTAAGCTTCTCCTTAATGAAGTGTCTGTCAATTCACACATGCTTGGTCCAATCATGGTGGACCGGATTGTGGGCAATAATACAAATGAGAGCTTTATTATCACAGAACAACTGAAGAGGAGCAGAGACAAACATATGTAATTCATAGAGTAAGATGCATAACTAAAGAGTTTCACAGATGCTTAGGGGCATGGAGCGAAACTCGGCTTCGACACTACTTCGGGCCACAATTGACTATTTTTTACTTTTTCACGTGATAAAGTTTCCTCACATGAATGAGCATATCCTAAGGTGGATTGTTGATAATTGACATACCCGACCCAATACACATTTGTATAAACAACAATAGAATGAGAGGTGTGACTCGATAAAGACAAACCTGATCCCGATGTGGCTTGTAGTGAAGGATCCTATAGACAAATTGGAAATGATGCTCATAAGGATAATGTATGAATTGACTCACAATACTGATAACATGATAAATTTTGGGGCCATTATGGGCGAGGTAAATGAGTTTCCCCACAAGCTTTGGTAGTGTGTCTTGTTCATCGGAACTGCATTGGAAATATCAGCTAATTTCTCATTGGGATCCATTGGGACCGCCACTGGTTTGCAAATGAGATGGTTATTTTTTGTTAATTGACGAAGTACATATTTGTGTTGAGATAGGCAAATGCCTTGAGTTGATTGGGCAACTTCCATGCCTAGGAAGTATTGGAGTGAAACCAAGTCTTTTATTTCAAATGAAGTAGCCAAAATACCTTTCAAAAATTTCAATGTTGGTAGATCATCACCTGTGAGTACAATATCATCGAAATAGACGATGAGGATATCAATTTTGCTATTAGACAAATGCCGAAAGAAGTAGATCTGTTTGGGGCTGAAAAAAACCATGACCGATTACAACCTTTGTAAACTTGTCGGACCAGACCCTTGGGGATTTCTTCAATCCGTAGAGGGACTTCCGCAGCACACTTGTCCTTGAGGAACAATAGAGTCAAAGCTTGTTGGGAGGCACATGTGCACCTCTATAACATCCCCATATAGGAAAGCATTTTTGACATTTAGTTGTAGCAGGGGCCATTCCAGATTTATAGCAAGGGAAAGTAAGACCCAATTGGTGTTTAATTTAACAATTGAAGCAAATGTCTCATTGTAATAAACTCTGTATGTTTGTTAGTAACATTTGACGACTAACCGTGCCTTGTTGCGCTCAAACATTATATTTGAGTTAAATTTGGTGCTAAAAATCCAGTGACTCCCTACTGCTTTCTTACCTGGAGGAAGTTCCACAACATCCCATATATGATTCCGCTGAAGGGCGTTCATTTCTTCCATTACTGTAGTTTTTCAAGAAGGGTCAGCTAATGCTGCTTCAATAGTAGTTGGAATGTGATGATCAGTTAAGGCAACAACAAAGCCTTATAGGTCGGCGATATAATATGGAAAGAGATATATTTTTCAATGGAATAAAGAGAGCTTGCTTGAGTACATGCCTCTACAAGAAAACTCACCTCATTTGGAGTGGTGCCAATTTTGGGGATGTCACTCAGGGTGGTTTTCAAATCTTGTAAAGGAATAGTAGGCTCCAAAGTGGGAATATGAGTGCGCTGAGTGTAGACACAGAGATAAGTGGAGGTTCTAGTTGTTTGGTCGGTGGTGGATCCAGAGGGAATGCGGGCTTCATGGATATAGTTGTTGGAGAAATATTCATAAGGGTCGGATAAGGAATAACGCTTGAGAAATCAAGTTCCTCCTCACTTGAGGCTGTGCTAGGAAAGTAGGAAACATTTTCAAAGGAGACATCAACACTTACATAGAGTTTATTTGTGGTATGATCAAGACACCGATAACTTTTTTGAGTGGCAGAATATTTAAGGAATATACATTTTATAGACTTGGAATCAAGCTTACTGCTATTAGGAGCAGTGTTCCGAATAAATGTTGTGCACCTAAAAATCTTTGGTTCAAGTGTGGTGAAAAATTGATTGGTAGGAAAATATGACATCATGATGGCTAGTGGAGTTCTAAAGTTATGAATTATTGGGGGAATTCTATTGATGAGATAGGCGACAACAAGCATGACATCATTCCAAAACTTTTTCGGGACTTTAGATCGAAACATAATGGCGAGCGAACTACTTCAAGAAGAGGTTAGTTTTTTCTCTCGACTACATTCTATGGAGGTGTGTCCGTACATGGAGTTATGATGGAGGATGTCTTTACTTATTAAGAACTCAACTAAAATTGAATTAAAGAATTTACTGCTATTGTCAGTTCAAAGGACTTGAATTGAAGTTTTGAATTAAGTTAAAATAGAGTGAAAGTTTTTGAAGGTGACAACAATTTCAGATTTATCTTTTAATACACAAACCCATGTCATTCGAGTGTAGTCATCAGTTAAGATAAGAAAGCACTGTTTATTAGTGTAGTTGGGAGTGTGAGAGGGTCCCCACATGTAACTATGAATAAGCAAAAAAAGAGTGGAAGGTGTGTAAGGATGAGATTGATATGAAACAAGATGATGTTTAGCTAATTGACAAATCTCACAGTTGAAGCTAACAAAAATTTTATAAGTAAACATTGACAGATACAATTATTTTAAATACTGAATACTGGGATTATCCAAACGATATTACAACAACATAATAAGACATTCAATGAATTGAAAAAAACTACAATTATTGGGAGAAGTGTTCTCTTTCTCCGTGTCTTTCTATTGGAAGAAGTAGAGCTCAACTATTCTTTTAGAGGATCTAATCATCCTTCCTGAACGAAGATCCTGAAAGAAACATAAATTAGGACAAAAATTAATAATGTAATCCATATCATGTGTCAGCTTACTAACAGATAACATGTTACACTTCAACAGAGGCACATTTAACAGATTTCAGAGAGACTGGTTAACACAATTGATCTTTTATCAACAATAGATTACAAGATCTATCAACAAATTTAAGTATATCTTTCCTAGAGCTTAAATAAGATGTTGAGAAAACTTGAGAGTATCCAGTCATGTGGTCCGTAACACTTGTATCAATAATCCATTGACTAGAAAGGGATGTGGGTGT